CAAAGAGGAAGGAAAAGGGGTCACCTTACTTCAGATGTCTTGAAACTTTAATTTAAAACCTCTCAACTTTCCATTACAAAAGATCAGAAAGGTCCTGGCATGCCATTAGAACATTCTCTTTGATGTTTCTCCAAGATTTCTTCAAGATTTCACTTCAGCAGCCATCCTGGCTGGAAAATTTTCAAGGCCAAAACTATTAAGTGCAGCTTTGCTTCCTTCCTCAAAAAAGCCATGGCACTCAAAAGAAAAAAAAAAAAAACCAAAAAACAAAACAAAACAAAAGTGCTCCAAAGCTGAGAGAGATACCCTTTGCTCATTATCATCGAGCATTAGGACAGCTAATTAAATAAGATTTTAGATAGGAGAGATTACTAAAGATATTTGATTGTGACGATCATTGATTTGTAGCCTATATTTTTCAAAATTAGAAGGCATAGGCTCCCATTTCAAATTTCTTGTTTTCAACAGATTGGAAACAATCCACAGTGATGTGAGGCAATCATTTAAATCTTGAAAGATGAAATTCGATATTCCAATTTTCTATTTTTCTATTTGGGGTTAATGAAAAATCAATTGATCTATGTTGTTTGACCAAGTGAAATCTCCATTTGACGAAGGTTGATCAATCAAAGAAAGGTCATCGATAAACCTATTGAATCTAAGCCTCTAAGCCTATTTTGTAGGTAATTTTTCCATTTGAAAATCTCTTGTTCTCCATCTAGTAATAATGAAGTCACGACCAATGCACTACATCTTGCACTATAGTTAGAAAGAGCCTCGAGATCATCTCAAAAGAATTTTACCTGATTATATTTGTTAAAAAAATTTCTGGTTCCTCATAGATCTGATCTAGTATCCCCTTGTATGGTGCTATACTGAAGAGGATGAGATTATTTTACCATTTGGATTTTGAACTTCAATTATTTTATTCCTCACTTTCTGAATAAAATGGCACAGTCCTGATAAGTTTGAGATGTGATTTCTTTGTTACTCTTGTATTTCCTTTCTTGTTGATGTATTTGATGAAGAATGTTTTGAGATATAGTCTGCTTGTCACTTGCCTCTAAATGCTTCATTTTTATCGTGTTTTGAACTTAATTACCTCTCTATATTGCCTGCGTTCAGATTATGAAGGAAGACGATAATAATTGGCCAGAACCAGATCGAGTTGGACGACAGGAGCTTGAGATTGTGATGGGAAATGAACACATCTCCTTCACCACGTCTAAGATTGGATCTCTTGTTGATGTGCAGAGCAGCAAGGATCCTGAAGGTTTGCGGATATTCTATTATCTTGTTCAGGTAAGGCTTAATTTTCGATGTCGATTATTTTTACATGGAAGCTTTTTATCTGCCCCTTTGGTCGTTTTTGTCTCTAGATTCTTGAATATTATATTGAATCCTTTATACTCTCAACACTGTCCAGCTTAATCATACTTGTGTTTCTTTGGCTGTAGGATCTGAAATGCTTTGTATTTTCTCTTATTTCACTCCACTTCAAGATCAAACCAATTTAAAGAAGTGCTAAAACTCCTACTGTGCAATATGAAGAACATGTACTTCTCTCAACGGTGAAATCCTTTTTTCTTTTTTGGCTTTTTGGCTTTTGAGAATTCTTTTCTGTATAACAGAAGCCGGGTGGTGTTGAATGGTTGTGTTTGATTTCTTAAAAATGCGCAGAATTTTGGAGATTTAGAATGTGTTATTTTTGAGTTCCATTTTCTGGACTTGGACTTGGTGTGTGATTATGATGATGACGACGACGATGATGATCTGTGTTGACATCGATCTTTTATATTGAATTTTGTTGGGGCTGTGTGTATGTTGTGGCATATTGAGATATTATTTCTTAAAACTGGGATTTGAAAAACAGTTCAATTAAATGGATGGTGTTTGACTGGAAATCAAATAAACCCAGCTCGCTCTCCTTATTGTATAAAGAATCACGTGATTATTCCATCAGGGTATTTCTTTCTTGATTCGGTTTGTGCTTGAACATAAATATGGATCATCCTGTCCTTCTGTATCACATCCCAATCAGCCAGTATTGTAATATTGAATTAATTAAAAAAAACTGGGAAAGGAAAAAATTCAACTTGAGCTAAATTGAATTAATTAAAAAGAAAATAACAAGAGTAGCCCAGCGTATATGTATCTAATAGTACAATAGGTACACTATATAGGTAGAGTTAAATGGCTCCAACTATTCCTACAAAACCTCTTAACCCTCCTCCCAACAACCTCAACCCAATATGGTATTTCTCCCACATATGCGTATGTACGAGCTCACCTGAGGGTTTATATGTGCGTATGTGGGTCTGGGTAGAAAATTACTACACATCCAGTGCTACTCGGAATCGAAGCTTAGATCAAGGTCGTGAAATGATGTTTAATGATAGGTCCAAACATGACTACATATGATTGCATTTCCTAACTCCAGTGGTGGGGTCACTAACTGAGTATGTCTTAAAATATTCAAACCACGTGCTGCTCTTACTTTTCAGGTAAAGCAAGACACGAGATTATGCCTCCACTAGTAGGGACGACGGAAACGCCAACATAGTGGTGATAGGTACCTTATATGCCCTTTGGTATCTTGCCCTAACTTTATTTGATTTGGGGTCTATGCAGTCCTTTATATCTGTTCAATTTGTTAGTCATGCAAGATTCAGATAGAGCCTTTATTACATGTATTGTTTTTTAGTACCACAACAAGAGTAGACTTAATTTCTAGGGATAGTGTGAAGGGTGGCCAAGTATTTGTCTTCGGGCAAGTCCTAAATGAAATGCTGGTAATGATAGACATGATTAGTTTTTATGTAATACTCGAGATAGATTGGTTAGACTGAGAATCATGTCTGCATATACTATTACATAAAAGAAGTGGTGTTTTTTTTAACATTGTCACAAAACAGCTTTAAGTTCAAGGGTACATGTGCGGGAGTTACCCCCAAAAGTAGTGTGTATGATGAAAGTGAAGAGGTTGATTCAGCAGGGAGCTTGGGGTATATTAGCCAGCGTCGTGGGCACAAGGAAGGAAGAAAATCTCTATCACCGGTGTTAGCGGTGAACGAGTTTTCTGATGTGTTCCAGAGGATTTACTAGGAGTACTCCATCCTCAGCAATAGATTTTTTTGCATAGAGCGTGAACCGGGTATCAATCTTATTTTCAAGGCTTCGTATCGTATGGTACAAGAAGAGTTGAAGAAACTTAAGATACAATTACAAGACTTTTTGGAAAAGAGTTTCATTCATCTCAACATGTCTCTTGGGCTGCACCTATGTTATTTGTAAAGAAGGATGGATCGATGCGTTTTTTGCGTCGATTACAGAGAGTTGAATAAGAAAACAGTGAAGAACAAATACATTCTCTTCCGTATAGAAAAATTGTTTGACCAGAACAAGATACGGTCATTATGTTACTATACATGACACATTATGCCATTAACAATTGTGGTATGCTATGAAAGTAGGGTACTATATTATACACACTACCTTATGTAATAACACGAAAGGATTATGCTATGTATGAACTGAACAAAGATACACATTGCATCATACACACGTCATAATTATAACCGAAGGATACCTAATACATATTGTATACTCACGTGCATCGAGATACTTCTCTATTATGATTAGTATTTGAATATATGTTAAATTGAATAAAACAGTCGTAACGGAACAGTTGAAAGTAGATTAAAAACGATGCATAGGCACATGAAAAATAGGTAGTTTAGGGTTCGGGAGTGAATGACACACTCCAAACCACGTGAAGTGCAGGAGGAGAAAAGAGTGTAATGTTGGAGATAATGCCAAAATGATTGTGTAGAGAGTGTTTGATTAAGAGGAGGGAGAAGGGCGTGGAGTGTTGGGAGCCATGGAAATTACTTATTTTCGAAGCGCAAGACATGAGAGGCAATGAAGAATCTTTTGTAAAATTTTGCAAAAAGGGAAATTTCATCTCTTTCATGCATTTGTTGCTATTAATATTTCAAATGCAACATTTTTAATACTCCATGCGCTGTTTATTTAGAACATCAAAACTTTCCCCATTTACCCATTGGGCCTTCAGTTCTAGTTTGTGTGCTCTGTCACAACCAATATAACATAAACTAATAACAACAGTAATGAAGAACTAAAGCATTTTAGAATTGGAAAACGTGAAAAACATAACCAAGTCGAAGAAAACATGTGAAAAACATAACCCCCATTGCCTCATCTATCTCCCTCTCCAACATCCTCGTATAACCAATCCCTGTTCCTCGTATGACTCATTTTGTTTACGGTGGTTTAATTACAATGGGTATCAAACTGGGGATGTTTGTAGACGTCTTTTAGTGTCTCATATCTAAAACTTCCTAAATATTCAAGCAAAATAATGCGTATTAACATGAATTGGTGGAGCAAATTAAAAGGGGGGAAACGAAAGGAAGGGAAGCTCAATACTAAATCCGTTGGCAATCATTGAAGCAGCTTCATTGAACTATGAACAAACAAAAATTGAATTGAAATATTTAGTCATTCGCTTTACGTATTTCGTTGCCCAAGATTTGTGTGCTACCCATATTTGCACTCCTAGCTTTATGTAGATATCTATTGCTGATATTTTTACAGGTAGAGAATATCTATCTAAAATTTGATTCCTATCCTCTTGTTTTTACGATTTAGTTTGTAGTTTGTATGAACTGAAAATTAGATTTAGGACCGGGGAATTCATATTATTAGAGTCAAACACTCCAGCTTGAGTAGATGTGGACTGTCGAATGCGGGGCTCACACCTAGTCCTGTTTTTGTACCCATACTATACGTAAACCGCGAGGTTGTCACTGCTGCAGTTTATGCGGTTAACTCCAACCACCGAAGTATTTTGTGTGCGGCAGTAACAAAGTAGGGGGGTCAGAGGCTATTGCTTTCCACGCATCATTCTTTTACACTTCCCTATATATACCCCTACAATTTCTCTCACCTTCTTTAGCTTCAAACGTTGTTTAAAGAACATGGGGCTTTGTGGTATCAGGGTGCCTCAAAATCCCACGCTTTCTATTCCTCATCATTTCCATAACAATACCCATATGAGGAAACCTTTGTGCACTGCCATTTCAGCTGCGGTATCTTCGCCTTGTGTTAAGTTGAAGCTAGGCAAGCGGTGGAGGGAGTATCAAGGGCTTCATAATTGGGAGGGCTTGCTAGACCCTCTTGATGAGAATCTCCGTAATGAGATTCTTCGTTATGGGCAGTTTGTGGATGCGGCTTACAAGTCATTCGACTTCGACCCTTCCTCCCCTACCTACGCTACTTGTCTATACCCCAAGGCCTCATTGCTTGACCGCTCTGGCCTTCCTGCCACTGGCTACCGTGTGTCTAAGCATTTGAGGGCTACCTCTGGAATTCGGCTCCCGGGGTGGGTCCATAAGGCTCCCTCTGTAGCTACTAACTCTAGCTGGATTGGGTATGTGGCTGTTTGCCAGGACAAGCAGGAAATCTCCCGGCTTGGACGGCGGGATGTTGTCATTGCTTTTAGAGGCACTGCTACTTGCTTGGAGTGGCTTGAGAATGTCAGAGCCACACTGACTAAGCTTCCCAGTACGGGGTGTGGACCCCACATGGCGGTTGAAAGTGGGTTCCTTAGTCTTTACACTTCCGGGACGGATTCGTGTCCAAGCTTGCGCCAAATGGTACGTGAGGAAATATCCCGGCTGCTACAATCGTATGGGGACCAGCCTCTTAGCTTAACCATTACAGGACATAGCCTGGGTGCCGCACTTGCAACGCTGGCGGCTTATGATATAAAAGAGTACTTCAAACGAGCGCCTATGGTGACGGTGATGTCGTTTGGAGGACCGCGCGTGGGGAATAGTAGCTTCAGGAAGCGAGTGGAGAAGCAAGGGACGAAGGTGTTGCGCATTGTGAACTCGGATGATGTCATCACCAAAGTGCCTGGCTTTGTGGTGAAGGAGGAGGAGGAGGAGGAGGAGGAGGAGGGAGGGCATGCGGTGGCATCCAAATTGAAGGGCGGCGGAGTGCCGCGGTGGATTCAGAAATGCGTGGAGGATACGCAGTGGGCGTACTCGGAGGTAGGACGAGAGCTGCGGCTGAGTAGCAGAGACTCGCCACACCTTACGGGGATTAACGCCGCCACGTGTCATGATTTGAACACGTACCTTCACTTGGTTGATGGATTTGTTAGTTCCAGCTGTCCATTCAGAGCAACGGCTCGCAGAATACTCCGATGAGGAAATTAATTTAATTTAATTACCAAAGCCACCACCCGGCTCCGCTCACAAACTGTACAAATCCTATCCATAGGATCCGACTACGTGGCACGCCGTGTACATTCCCTAACACCAACTAACCCATATTCAACTCTTCTCTCTGCTCACGTGTACCATTTCACCGCCCACATTTTCACAGCTGGGACAGTGAATTTTCTTTTTTCTTTTTCCTTTCAAACAAAACAAAATAAATTAGCATCTCTAAAATTTTACCCTTCCAAATCTGCATTTTCATTTTTATTTATTAAAAAATAAATAAAAACAAGGCAAATGAAAGAAGTATGGTTATAATTAGAGATGAAAATGTTTCCATCCTGGTTCTAAATATCTAATTTTTTTTTTATTAAATAAAAACGAAATAATGATTGGTTGAAAAAAATATTAGTAGATTAATTATTAATAATATTATAGCGAATGAGAAGAGAGAGAGAGAGAGAGAGAAGGAAAAGGCGAGGGTTGTAGTTTTGCTGGAGAACGTGACGTATGGAAGTAAAGTTTTAGTTAATGACTAAAATGACCCTGAGATTTGAGACTTGAGACCGACCGTAAATATTGAAAAATAAAAATCGAAAATATTGGACCACCGACCCCGTTCGGTCAGGGACGCTCAACATGTAGTTCCCACGTGCGCCTTCCAGTTCCCACTTCCCAAACTGCCCCTGCTCTCTGCCGTCCACACCTACTCTCCCCCATATTCTTTTTCTTTTTCTTTTTCTTTTTCTTTCAAGATTATTTAAACCTCAAAATTAATGATTTCATTTTTTTTTATTCCACATCAAAATTTATAAATGGATATGCATAAAAATAAAATTAAAATTTAAAAAAGTTTTTAAAAAATACTAAAATAATATTGTCCCATTCCACAAATGTTGACGTTTGAATCAATAATTATTTTGATTTTTTGAAACCGTAGAGGCATGCCATGCGTGCACAAATTTATGTTCTTTAATTTAGAAAAATAAAATATATAAATTTAGTTTTAGAAAAACCCAATTAAGATAAGCTTATAATTGTAGAAATTAAATTAAATGGAATTAATCTATTTTTTATTTTGTAATCAATTCGGTCTTCTCATGTTGATTGTCTTATCTTTTTGTAACACCACAAATTTTGTATGCTAATTAATTTAAGAGTATTTTCTTACCATCTGCTTATTCAAAATATTAAATCTTAGACGTAGGGCTACACTAATACTATCACGTAACCAAAGAAGAGTATCATAACGGGGTAAGAGGCTGATTATTAATTTTTATAAATATTTATTTAAAATAGGGACTACATTTCTCTGTTATTGATTTAATAAAATCAAGAGCGATGATAACAACGTCGTACCAACTATATATTGGAAAAAAATTATATTTAGATTGAAATTTTGTTTTATTTATTTTTTTCGAAATTCAGGATGGTAAATAAAAAAGAAATAAAATGGAAAGAATGAATATAATTAATTGTAAGGGAGTTGGGGGGGAAAAAGTAATAAGAAGAAATTTAAGGATTTAAATTGAAATTGGGAAAGAAAGTGAAGGACAGGTGGAGATCGTGCCTCCTAGATTACGGCGCCTACTACATTTGGACTCTAATCATCAATATTAACAAAGTCAACTTAAAACATTTATTCCCATTCAAATTAGTATCCTTAAAATCTTACAAAAATAAAATTAATAAAAAAAATTTGTCTACAAACCTCCTTTTATTCCTTCTGTTTAATGCTAAACTTATATCAACCATATCAACTTTAGGTATTCAAAATTGGTAAAATTGGTAAGCCCGTGTTGGTGGCTTTCTCCATGACGGTTTGTTGCAACATAGGTTTCTCTGCGAGCCTACAAATTTAGCTTTGGTCTAGTTGTTTTTCTTAGAATTGAGTGAACGGTCTCTCGTAGTCTCACAGAAGCCTTTACTTATATCAAAAGGTAAAAAATATGGAATTTGACAAAAGGGTTTGAATAATAAATGGGTTGCGTCAAATTGGTGAATGTTTGTTTGATTTTAGCATATTCCTTTTTGTCATTTTCAACTGTATCCCTTGTCTTTTTCAATTCAATATCTCACTACTTTCTATTCAAATCCAATCTTCTTTTTCAACATTAAAATTATCCCTAAATTTTTATTTTAATTAAAATAATATATTTTTCTTCAGGTTTAAAAAATACTCCTGTAAATATAGGCATACAAATTGTACCATCTTCCTCTTAATTTTTTAAACATGGTAAGAATATTTTTTTAAAGTTATAAAAAATAAATTATTAAGCAAAGATATTTTTGGTTTTTTTTTTTTTTAAACTTAAAAAATATATTTTATTAAAGAATATTATTGAGAAATATTATTATTAATTTAACGTAATGAAAAGAAAAAAAAAAAAGAAAGAAATAATTGATGATTTGAGTTGAGAGAAACTGACGGCGCCGTTTTAGGTTGTAGTGAAGATGCGGGACGAGGGACGTGGTCCTTTGGTTGGCTAGATTTGTAGCACCTGGACCAGCACCCAAAAACCCCTAATTATATATAATATAATAATAGAATAATATATATTAATATTCAATTTAGCTCTGCAAAATTCAACCTTTCTAAACCGACTAAATAATCTCCGTTTTCAACTTCAACCCCCCACCGTCCATCATTATTATTATATTATTATTGTTTTTAATTTTCATTTCTTTGCATAATTACTTCTCTTTCCTATTTCAATTTCTTTTTTTTTTCCTTTTTCTTTTTAATATATGTTGTTAACTAATTTTTCCTATATATTTATTATATATGTGTTCTATTATCCCCTAATATAATTTAATTTTGTTTTTAATTGTGGGTAACTTTTTCAACTTTTTTAATCCATGTGACATTCCTCCGTAACGTGACAAATAGATCTTTGTATGATGAGATATGTGTCCACTTCGCTTAGTACTTAGTCATTGTGGTTGAATCAATGTGCTAGTCTACTAGATGATTTGGGGGTGCGTGTGCAACAACAGTGACGTCAATAATAATGATGACTCTATCATTCTCAAGTATAAAAGGTTGCTTGCTTGCTTGTCAGGCCATCTAATGGGGATCGATCCATAAATTTTGCTATTTGATTTGTATGAGTGAATGTAATAGTCTGATGTCTCTAGAAAGAAGAAGAGTCGTAACTTAAAAAAAACAAAGAGTTCCCATGAAAATTATATTTAAAAGTAGTGAACAGACAACCCGTCCATAAATTTGGATTCTAAAAAATCTCTTTTCTTAACATGTTAAAACATAGCAGAAAAGTATGACGTAGGTCTAACAGACTTCCATAGCCACCAAACTCCCTCCTGTCATCGTTTTCCACTGGTATCCCAAATACCATCTATCAGAAAGAATAGCACAGTTCAGTAAGTAGCTCACTTATAAATTTGTAGTTAAACCTCCTCCTCTAATCTGCACTGATCTGCACTAATCTTCACTAATCTGCACTAATCATAGCATAAGTCTAATTAGTGAGCCTTTGTTGGGTCTTCTTAACTCATTTGAGCTTGCGTAATCCCTCTCCTTCCTTATTCATTCTTTTATTAGGCTTTTATGATAGTTTAGATATGTGGTTATCGTACTTCCCTCCTACTAACTCCATATAATCACTGTGACCTCAGTAGCTCTCTTAGAGCTCATTTCACCGACCTCGTTGAAGCTTATCAACCATATCACATGGAAGAATTATGGAGGTTGTCGTGTTATGCATTGTATTATTTCTTCCTATTGTATCGACTCCTTTTCATTTTTTACTTATTGTTTTTGTTCTGGTTTTTTTTTTTTTTTTTTTTTTTCTATTTCTTTATATTGAAGTATAATTAATTTATTTAGATTAAATTGGTAACTAATAATAATAAACTATAATTAATAAAAATTAATTAAGTATTTTATTGTAATAATCATTTTATGTGGTTAGAATATGCATGATTAAGACTTTAGAAGAGCAATTTATATGAGAATGTTGTGTATGTATTGAAAAATTACTATAATACCCATTGGGTGAGATTTTTAATATGTATGTTGTTTTATCTCCTTGTTAACATTAACCTTGCATGAATGTTTGGATAATCTATTTCATGCTTTAAGTGACCGATAGGATTATCTCCATAATAAATTAGGCATGATTGTACGAAGTTAAGATTAGGGTGTGGAAGCTAGAATGATATCAGGTTGACCTAAGTCAGAAAATTTCTAGTAGACTGATCACCCTAGGATCTTGAGTGAGGATCAATGATCAAGACCATAGTGCTCGAAAAATTAGATTAGTTTCGATGAGATAGTCCTAAGTGTCCTAGAAATTGAGATTTAAATTGCTTATACACCCTAAGAACCTAGTGAACTTTCACGATACACATGAAAATTTACAAGGCTGCTAATAGTGTGGGTGGTACCACCAGAGCCTGACCGCCCTCTATTCCCTATAGTACCTTAGTAGCACTATTCAGTGAGCTAGGTCAAACCCAGTAATGCCTCCTGCCAAGCGGTAGGTATCTAAGAATTGTACTGCCGAGCTGGACCAATGTCAAATAGGATGGAGTATCTTGGCTTCTTGAGGAGTTTCTATTATGTGTAGAAATGGGTCGAGAACCTAGGTTGTGATTCTATAAACCATTCTAAGAAAAAAAAAAAAAGGAATTACAAAAGTAGTTTAGCGCATGATGCGTGCCATTATCGTGTGTAGAAACGGGTCGGGAGCCAACGCCTTGATTCCCTAATCCTATCCCGAGAGGGGACCACATAGGTACTTTAGCTGGAGAGGAGAGACATTATCGTGTGTGGAGAGGGTCAGAGGTGCCTTGGACAAGGCCATTGTACTGTAAATATGCCTTGAGAGGTAAAAGACCCACACAGGTAGATTAGTAGCTGGCTAACACACGGGGTCACACCCCTAGATTTTAACTTTATGGTCGCCAGTTAATCTTACACAATGACATTCAGAAAGAAACACCATATTATCCTATGAGATATGATGAGGTCGTGCCTCACCCTAGGATATTGGTCATTCGCTGCTAAGATAAATTAAGTTGATTAAGTCTAAAGAAGAGAAAAGTTAGTTCGATGAGATACGTCATCGACTAGAACCCAATGAACAACTTCTAAATTTTGAATGAATTTGTAACAAGTAAAAAGAATCAGTTGAATCTTTGAGGTCTCTCCAGAAGTTCAAATAGCTATAGAGTTAGACATGAACTGGTAACTTGC